TAGTTGGCACCAGTAAATTTACTTCCTCGACAGAGGAGCTCTGTCCAACTTTAGGAGTAGGAGTGTGGACTGAACAGTCACAAAATGTATTTGTTTGAGCTACATTACTTAGATACAATCTTCTTGCAATTATTTGGCAACATAATGGTACATAGTCATAATGTGCAGCCCATTTTCATCCTACGATGTCACATGCAGACATCTTTGGTAAAGTGCTTGCATTTCACGTCCTGGGATGAGAACATGTTGAAATATGACATCCATGTTAACAGTTGGTTTTTGTGAAAAGGTGTGATAAAGAGGGGGATATTTATTTTTAAGTTTATATACATGTTTAGTAAACTTTAAGACTTGTCTTCTGTAAGCATGTCTCCTATATGCATTCCCTGATGACAGCAAGATAATAATTTATCAGTTAAGGCACTATTTGCCTATGCGTCACCTGCCATTGTGAAAAGAAAGCATTCATTGAGATTAAAAGAACAGAAGGAAGGTTTTTCTCTGTAAAAGATATCAAACATGGGTTGTGACTGTCTTTTCTGCGTTTTGTGTGTGATTTTTATTTGTGTGAATTATTTTACATTTACTCATTTGGCGCTTTTATGCAAAGCGACTTACATTTGAGAAACAACATACAAGCATCAACAAAGCATCAAATACAGCACAAGAACAACAACTGACAATACATACTAGTAAGAGCAATAAATACTAGTAAGAGCTAATAGCACATATCGCATCTATGGGGTAAATACCTAGGGATAGAAGTAACAGTTAACAAAAAAGTGCAATCAATACAAGATAATTGTAAGGGGATATAAGAAGAAGAGCACAGGAAGTGCATGTTAGAGGTTAGGAGTTAGAGGTGTTATAAGAGGAAATGTTCTCAGAAGAGATGAGTTTTGAAAAGCTTCTTGAAGTTAGAGAGGGACGCCCCTCCCACGATGGTGTGTGGTACCTAATTCCACCATCATGGTGTCACAGATGAGAACAGCCGGGATTGGGATTGCTTTGTGTGAAGGGATGGCAGAGCCAGGCGGCATTCGTTGGAGGAGCGTAGTGGCCGAGAAGGAACGTAAACTTTTATTATGGAGTTTAGGTAGATGGGTGCAGACCCAGCAGTCACTCTGTATGCAAGCATTAGTGACTTGAATCTGATTCTGGAGGCCACAGGGAGCCAGTGGAGGTCACACAGTAGTAGAGTGACACGAGTCCTTTTGGGCTGATCAAAAACCAGACGTGTTGCGGCGCTCTGAACCATTTGTAAGGGTTTCACCGCACAAGCTGGAAGACCTGCTAGGAGGGCATTGCAATAGTCGATGCGAGAGATAACCATGGCCTGTACCAGAACCTGGGTGGCATACTGAGTGAGGTAGGGCCTGATTTTCCTTATGTTATATAGAGCAAAGCGGCACCCTGGTTGGAGTGATTTCTGAGGAGCCAATTTGTAGTCTGATCTTATGGTGGATCGATTGCATGAGAGATGGAGGGAGACATGTTTAACGACTGCTACATGGCAGGTTTTCCTGTGCCGTGTTCACACACTGGGAACTGACCAGGGCAGGAACAGAATGGTTGATTTTGAGTGAATTAGAGAATTGGCTAGTTATAGCCGCCACTTTGCCGGTGATGAAGGCAGCAAAAGGTATCAGCAGACAAGTTTGTAGGTGGTGGAGGTGGAGGAGGATTTAGTAGCGCTTTTAAAGTGGAAAATAATTCCCTTGAGTCAGTGGCAATGCTAACTCTGTCATTATAGAACGCAGTTTTGGCAGCACTGATGCTTGTTGAGAAGGAGGATAGGAGCAAATGGTAGGCCTTAAGGTAGGCAGGGTCTTTGGTTTTGCGCCATTTTCTTTCAGCGGCTCTAAGATCAGTACGGAGCCCACGGATAAATGAATAAGAGGAGAAATTCTTATATCGTCTTGTTTTTAAAATTGTGACACATACTATATCTGGTCTTTATGCATTTGAAATTAGAACATATTACACAATCATAGTTTGTTAAATCTACATGAGATGTTTTGTTATTTTACTTGATATTTTTTATTAATTTGTGACTACAGCAAAGGGGTGTTGCAACTACTGGCAGGAAGTGTACACTGCTCATAAAAAAAGAGGAAGGATATGAGGGGAGAATGTAAGAACCAATCAATCTGATGGCTAAATTCTGCCAGCACAATGAACGTTTGGAAAAGGGGTGAGGTCCTTCCTGCTGATTCATTATTTAATTTGCTGACCCTAGAGCTCAAAAAGGGGAACTTTTTGGGGCTGCTTCTTTTTTTGGATCAGCAAGTTAGGGTTTTGTGACACTTTGATAAGCTTTTTAGCATTTTTTGATAATAAATACGTTTCTCTTTGGGTGGACACCAGAGGGGAACTAAGGGAACTAACACAGAAATGCAGTCCCCACCTTTGCTAGGACCCTGAAGGATGTTGCTCTTGGAAGGAGCCCTACTACCACTCCAAGGGGTAACCACACAACGCAGACCTCACGCAGACCTCCAGGACCTCCTAGACCTTCAAGACCATCCAGAACTCCACCATACATCCACCCCCGGCCGTCAGAGAGGAAGGCCAGGCCACCAAACCCACAGCATCACCAACATCACAACCCACAGCCAACACAACGCTGGCCACTGATACCGAGCCAGAGAACCCCCCAGCCTGGAGGTCCTATACCCCCCCTCATCCCAACGGCAGAACCAAGACTACAGGAGCAGCAGCCTATTGGACTGCACTATGCTGCAGCGGTGAGAAGAGCCACAGCCCCGCCCCCCTCTGGTGAACTCAAAGACATATTACACATGCTAAACCTGATCTGCTCTCGCCTCATATAGCTACATGATGGAAGAGCAGAGACCTCTTAGAGACATCTAAGACATTAGCATGTTGGATATCATTTTAAACGAATAGTAATATAAGGACAATTCTTAACAGAATTTCACACATGATACACTCTAAAATGTCACTCAAAGTTTAATATTTTATTCATTTACCTACAACACTATTTTCCTCTTTTTACACTTTTTTTTCTTTTCGTTTGTTACTAGTATTGTTTTTTAATATCTAGTTTACTATTATTATTATTTGTTTTTTAAGGTGTTTGTCTAATTTCTGAACAGATTACACAGCGAAATTGTTTACAATAACATGTCGGAACATTCAAGGTCTGAGATCATCAGCTTTTGGTTTAAAGAGCAGAAATCCAGATTTTAATAGAGAGTTAAAAGATTCTGACATAGTTTTACAGGAGACATGGTGCAGAGAAGATGTTTCCACTGGTCATCCTCATGGCTATACTGAGATTATTATATCATCAACAAAAAATCCCACAATAACCCAAGGCAGAGATTCAGGAGGCCTGATTATATGGTGTAAATCAGAACTGAGCCAGTCCATCACAGTTATTAAAAAAGAAGAATCTTATATATGGTTGAAAATTAACAAACAGATGATTTGTGCTGAGCAGCATGTCTACATGTGTGCCATCTATATACCTCCATCAAAATCCCCCTACTACAACCCAAATATTTTCTCAATTCTTGAGAAGGAAGTTAACCATTATAAAACCATGGGAAATGTATTACTCTGTGGGGACTTGAATGCTCGAACAGGGGAAAGAGCTGACACTATGAACACCCAGGGAGACAAACACTTACCTGGAAGCACCTGCTTCCCCCTCCCTGAATGTCCTGCTAGAAAGAGCTTTGACAAGCTAAAACCAGCGGTATGCTGCTTTTACGCTGGGTCTGTACATAGTCAACAGCAGGCTACGAGGGGACTCTCTGGGTCACTACACTTACAGCTCAGATTATTTCATTACAGATCTAGATCAAATGTCTCTCAGAGCTTTCACAGTCAGCCCCCTCACACCCCTGTCAGAGCACAGCAAAATCACTATCTATCTGAAAAGGGCTCAGTCTAAGTCTGGAGCCCCTAGTGCCTGTGAACTGTTTAACAGCACATACCCATACAGATGGAGCCCAGACAGCATGGGGGGCATACCAAAAGACACTGGAAAATCAAAACATACATGATTTAACTCCATTTCTAACTGAAACATTTCCCCAGAATAATTCTAGTGTAAATTCTGCTGTGGACAAAATCAATTCAATATTTCATCATTTGGGTTCATTGTCTAATTTGAAAGCCTCCAAACCAAAACCTCAACAAAGGACCAATAACAAATGGTTTGACACTGAATGCAAAAACCTAAGGAAAACTTTAAATTATCAAATGAAAAGCATAGGGTCCCAGATAACCACAACATACCAGAGTCCAACCAGTTCTGGGAGAAATGGAACAACCTAAACAAAACCCAGCAGGATGAATTGGCGATCCAAGATGGAAATACTTGGATTAATCACTTTAGTGAATTATACAGTAATATTACAAAAAATTATGATCAGTACAAGATATTCACGAAATGGAAAACTCTGGAGGCGGTGATAAAAAAAAAACCCAACCAAAACCCTCTAGATTACCCTGTAACAGAACAAGAATTAACAGAAGTCATCCAGTCCCTGAAAGGAAAAAAGGCTTATGGTATTGATGGAATCCTCAACGAAATGATCAAATACTCAGACCATAAAATCAGATTGGCTATACTAAAACTATTCAATTAGACATCTGGAACAAAGGTTTAATAACCCCAATTCATAAATCCGGAGATAAATATGACCCAAATAACTACAGAGGAATATGTGTATCCAGTAACCTGGGAAAAATATTCTGCAACATCATTAATAAACGACTTGTCAACTTTGTTGATAACCACAATATTCTGCATAAATGTCAAATTGGTTTTTTGCCAAATTGCCGCACAACGGACCATATATTTACCCTCCAGACTCTAACTGATCAAGAATTAAACATTAAGAAAAGAAAGGTATATGCCTTCGATTCCATCTGGCACGAGGGCCGTTTCTTCTTTTAGGCTACTTACACTAAGTGGCATTGGAGGAAAAAACATATGATTTGATTAAGAACATGTATACAAAAAGTGAATGGTAAGGTAAGGTAACTTTATTATCCCCGAGGGGCAATTTGCATTACAGCCAGCAAATATATATACAACAAATATATTTATCAGACCACAACAATAAACACAACCACAGTACAATATAATTTAAAATTGAATTTACAGGGTATTAACAATGGTGATAACAGCCGGGATGAATGACCTTTTTAATCTGTTTGTTCTGCATCACGGCAGACTATATCTGCGCCCGGATGGCAGCAGCATAAATTCACCCCACAAGGGATGACTGGGATCAGCCAGGATGGCTCTCGCCTTCTTCAAGGATCTGACCTTATACAGGTCATGTAGGTCATCTAAGGGTGTGCCAACAATTTTGCTGCATACCTTCACGATACCTTGCATGCGATTTTTCTGTTTAATGGAAAGTGACCTGTGCCAGCAGATAAAAGAGAAAGTGAGAACTGATTCAATGAAACGGGAATAAAACATTTTCATAAAAACAGTGTCGACATTAAAACTGCGAAGCTTATGAAGAAAGTGCATATGTTGATGTGCTTTTTTTTTTTTATTTAATTTTTTTTTTTTAAACACACACAACCCAACACCAACCTGGTACTCAAAGCACAGTCTTTCGTTTTTGCCACATTAATATTTAAAAAAGAGGATTTCCACCAAATCAATAAAATCCTTCACTACAGGACCGTGTTCGGGGTCATCACTACTGAGGAGGGACACAATGACCGAGTCATCCGCAAATTTAATAATGTGACGCCATTCATGATGGCTTTGGCATTTATTTGTGTATAAAACAAATAAAAGAGGGGAAAGGACGCAGCCCTGGGGGGACCCAGTAGAAGAGAAAAGGGCATCTGATCTCTCACCCGTTGTGACCTCACTGTTAAAAAAAAAATCCATCAGCCAGCAGATCAGTCCAGTATCAATGTTATGAGTGTTCTTCAACCTGTCTGCTAAAACATGGGGCTCAATGCAGTTAAAAGCGGAGGAGAAGTCAGTAAATAGTAGATGGACAAGGGACTTGGCCCCCTCAAGATGTTTAAAAACCATGTTTAAAAGCGACCCTGTTGCATCGTCCACGCCTCTGCCCGACCTGTAGGCAAACTGGAGAGGGTCTAACTTATCCTGTACAGTGTCCAAAAGTGCATCCTTCACTAGCTTTTCAAAAACTTTCATGACAAGAGATGTGAGTGCCAAGTCATTGAGGGTCTTAGGAGTTTGAATCTTAGGCACAGGAACAATTATTGAGTCCTTCCAAAGACAAGGGACCTTATGCAGCTGTAAGGACAACTGGAAGATGAAGCAGAAGATGTCTGCCAGCTGGACAGCACAGTTCTTCAGAACACAACCCCCAATCCCATCGGGACCTGGACTCTTCCTTTCTTTTACACCACGAATGAGTTTCAAGACCATGAATTTATCAATGGGCACAATATTATTTACAGGATTACAATCAACATTTTTAAAAACAGACGTCTCCTCACTAAAATCATGAATATTAAAATGATTATAAAAAACATTCAGTTCATTTGAAAATTCCAGGTCGGTTTTTCCATTGTGAGTAATTGAAGAATTTTTGGACTGCAACCCCAATATGGTTTTCACGCCCTCCCAAGCAGGACGTGAATTTCCAGTGCGCAGCAAGTTTTCTACTTTGTCTTTATATGTGCACTTGGCAAGCTTGAGTTCCCTCTTCACCTGTTTAGCCAGTGCCCTGTGCTGTATCATGTCCCCCTGATTAAAACTAATGTTTATCTGATTAATTATGCTTTTGACTGATTTGGAGACCCAGGGTTTATTATTTGGATAAATGGAGATGGGTTGTTGGGAGATGATCATTTCCTCATAAAAAGATATATAGGCAGATTTGTATGTCGGAACCAAATACACAACATTATGGTCTGACGATCCAAGAGGGGCTCTAGGAAGAGATTTGTAAGCCCCCTTAACCGTCCCAAAACAAAGGTCCAGACACTTTGAGTGACGAGTCGGACAAGTGACATACTGGTAAAAATTACAGAGAGACTTCCCCGGTTTACAATGATTAAAATAACCCATTATTAGGATCCCCTGCAGCCCCTACGCAGATCTGGTCATGGCTTGAGTGGCCCTGTCAACGTTAGCCTTCGGGTGAATATAAACAAGAGTCACAAATAATTGGGGGAATTCCCTTGGAAGATAAAAAGGACGTAAGGATACAGAGAGGAGTTCAATGTCCGGCGTACACAGTGACTCTCTGTCAACCACTGTGCTGCACCAGTTATTATTTACGTACAGACACAATCCCCCGCCAAGTGACTTACCGGTCACTGCAGGGTCTCTGTCCAAGCGGTAGGGAACTCCGAAGCCATCGATCTCCAGATCGGACTGTAAGTCGTGTTCCTTAAGCCATGTTTCTGTGAAGGCAAGAAGACAGGCACTGCTATACTCCGCCAGGAACTTGACGTTTTCTTAAAGCTCGTCAACTTTATTCCGGAGTGACTGGACATTAGCGAGGATGACTGTGGGAAGGGGAATCCGCCTATGTCCCTGTCTCCTGAGCCTCTGGCGCACACCGCCGCGTCTCCCTCTTTTCCTCGCTGTCGGCCTCCTGCGGGGCGCCCCGTTCCTGTTCACTGCGTAGGGGTCCGGCAACAGGAGGATCTCTGCGGGGATAACTGGAGTCCACGGTGCGTACACTGGTGCTGTGCAAAAGCAGAAGGAATTCCCGACTATACTGGAGAGGTTGTCCATACACAAGAAGTCCGCATAAAAAGTGACATGACAGCGTCAACAGAAAAAGGAGGCCTGTCAAATTCAGGTGAGTCATGTTGCCTCCGTTCACATGCAGATCAATCCAATAATGGTTAGTAAAAACGATAACATAGACAGGACAGGTTAAGAACAATGGTTAAAAGCTGGTTAAATAAACAAGTAAAAACTGTTTAAAACCAGATAGAAAAAACTATTTCAATCTATATATCAATGAATTAGCAAACCAATTAGAGAGTTCCACGGCACCTGGCCTCATCCTGAACGACACAGAGATCAGAGGTCTGCTGTATGCAGATGACTTAGTGTTGCTTTCACCTACTAAAGAAGGTTTGCAGCAGCACCTTAACCTCCTTCAGAGATTCTTTCAGACCTGGGCCCTGACAGTAAACACAGCAAAGACTAAGATAATGATCTTTCAGAAACAATGCAGAAATCAGGTTACACACAATTTCTATTTAGACACCACTAAATTACAACACACAAAAAACTACACTTACCTTGGCCTCGACATTATGTACACAGGGAACTTCAACATGGCTGTGAAAGATCTGAGGGACAAAGCAAGGAGAGCTTTCTATGCAATAAAAAGAAACATTAAAATCTATATTCCAATTGAAATCTGGCTTAAAATTTTCCAATTTGTACTAGAACCAATAATTCTATATGGTAGCAAAATCTGGGGGCCAAAACTTAATAATGGGCAATAACAAATGGGACAAAACAATCATAGAATCTTTCCATACTGAGTTCTGTAAGAGCATCCTGCAGGTGCAGAAAAAAACACCAAATAATCTGTGCAGAGCACAGCTCAGCCAATACCCCCTCTTACTAAAAATACAGAAAAGATCACTTAAATTTTACAATCACTTAAAATCAGTTAACCCCCAGACATATCATCACAAAGCCCTAACATACCAGGAGCTGAAACCAGAGAAGAGTCCCCTCAGCCATCTGGTCCTGAGGCTCTCTACAGTAACAAGTCCCCAACAGCCTCAGGACAGCAATACCAAACCAAATTATCAGCAAGCAGAAAGAAAAATATATTGAATACTGGAAAGAAACAACCAAAACACAAAGTAAATTACAATGTTATCTGACCCTAAAAAGAGAATTCACACTGGCAAATTACCTGAGTATAATAAAATGTCCCAAATTAAGAAAAATGTTGACAACATACAGACTGAGTGAACACAGCCTGGCCATAGAAAAGGGTCCCCACAGACAGAGCTGGCTACCACAAGAGGAGAGACTCTGCTCCCAGTGTGACAGGGGACAGGTAGAGACAGAGCTGCACTTTCTAACCTCATGCCCTCAATATAACACACTAAGACAAAAACACTTTGCAAACATTTCCCAAATATACCCAGAATTCAAATTCATATCACACACACAGAAACTCCCCTATTTACTGGGAGAAATGCCCAAATGTGAAATAATTGCTGCAAAATATGTCTTCTCATGCCATGAAGTGAGGACAACCAGTGGAACCTCAGACTTATAAATAATTGTAGAGATTTTCAAATTATTATTATTTTGATTGTTTGATATTTTAGTAATTGTTTTGTTTTTACAGTTGATACTGATTTCTTTTTTAAAATGTATTATTATTTTTTTTTATCAATTCATTATTTTTAAATTTTTTTTGTATATTAATAAAAATACACACACACACGTTACTGTTTCATTTATTTATTTTATTTTATTTTAAATATATATATTTTTTCTTTTTTTAACACACACACGCTTACTGTTTTATTTATTTATTTAATTTAAAAAAAAATTTTACACACACACACACAACACACACACGCTTATTGATTTATTTATTTTTTTTATTTTTTTATTTTTTAACACACATATGCTTACGGTTTCATTTATTTATTTTATTTTTAATATATTTTTATTCTTTTAACACACACACACATGCTTACTGTTTTATATATATATATTTTTTAAACATACACACACACACGCTTACTGTTTTATTTTTTTATTTTTTATTTTTTTTTAAACACACACGCTTACTGTTTTTTTTTTATTTATTTTTTTTAAAACACACACACGCTTAAGGTTTTATTTATTTATTTTAATATTTCATATTTTCTCTTTTTTTAAACACAAACACACATACGCTTTGATTACTTTACGCTTTGATTACTTGTTTAATGAAATGTATGTAGCTGATTGTTCTTATGTTGTATGTATGATGCTTTGGCAATATAGTTATTACACATTCATGCCAATAAAGCTAATTTGAATTGAACTGAACTAAAAGGAGTATCTTTGTTGTCGTAACCCTACCTCCGGACTGGTAAGTTAGGTTATTACCTTCCATCCACACTGCCTACACCTACACACCTCATTACAGATAACCAGCAAACTGGCCTTTAAAGGAACTCATTCCAGATTTTTTTTGTTCCCTACTCTATTGAATCTGCAAGAGAGAGGATGAAAGGGGTTCACTAGGAAGCTTTTAAACCTGAAGTTAGAAATTTTATACAGACAGGCCACTGGATGCTAGAACGTTCAAGCTAAACATATCTTAAACTGGTCTGTAACAGCTAAATATGCAACATCAGAATTAGCTATCATCCTTTATTGAGTCTTGTAACAGGCTATTATAGAATATATAGAAAATCATCTTTGGTGTGATGCTGATTCTCAGTAACTTAAAACTTTTCACCTGCTCCTCCTCAGCTCCACTGATGTAGACAGGAGTGTGTGTCTTTATCACCTTTTTTTGGTTTTGCTGACATTGAGCAGTAGGTTGTTCTCTGTACACCACTCTGCAAGGTTATTGATTTTTCTCCCAATTTGAAGCCTCATTATTTAAAATCCGTCCAATGATGGCGGTGTCGTCCACAAACGTCTCAACAGAGTTCTCTCCATGTCGGGGGATGCAGTGACAGTGACAACGGGAGGGGGCGCACTCAGTCCTGGGGACTCTGGTGTTGAGTGGAGGAGATGTTATAGTGTTGATAGACTACAGTTGTTATACATGCATTATACAGTGACAACATGAAAAATATAAGCCGCTTTCACACAGAGATCCTGCAATAAACGCGGAACGAGTGTTCGCCAATATGCTGTATTCACTCATTCATACTGAACAAAAAGATTGCGGAATAATCTCTCACATGGAGCGAATAACACTCCAATACTGACCCAAACCAAACACAGATAATCCCCTTTTAAACAACCAAATCCATGGGATTTATTAACATAAGATGATAAATCAAGAATACCAAAAACATGGGCTGTTGGTTAGCGCACCGCTAGTGCGCATGCCCTATGTATAAAAGGCTGAGTCCGACCCACAACCCACACTACATGTTGTCCCCCCTCTCTCTCTCATTTCCTCTTTCCAATGCCTTATCATAAATATAGGCACAAAAGTCCCCAAAAATATCTTTAAAAGAATACCAAAAACACAACGTTATAACACAAAATCCCCAGCTGAGAGGCAGCAAGACCTCGGGCCTGTACCACAAAGCAATTTCAACATACCCAGGATATCGTTTCGTTATCTGGCTTCACTAGCTCTAACAATCGGGATTGGGATAAGCAGTCACACGAAGCTGGTTATCAACTCGCTAAATCAACCCAGGGATTCCCAATCCAGACATGAGCATTTTCACGTAAAAGATGAGGTGTTAGCAGCAGATGGCCAATCGCAAACACGGACAAGTCTACTGGCAGCAGACCATCATATTTTCCAAACGAAGAGCAAATTGTAGCCTACTATTAGACAAAGAAGACATGGTCTAAGTAACACAGCTGCAAAGACAAAATTACCACCAGCGTGACTGCCTAAATGAACAGGTGTATAATATGAATATGTTAATTTTAGTTTTCTTATGTAAGTTAGACAATTGTATCCTTGTTCTTTCCTGCTGTGTGTTGGTGTTTCCACATTAAAAGCCTCAGGCCCTGAATAAGTGGTCGTTCCAATTCACTTTTAAGATCTTCTCATCACTTCAAAAATCAGAAATTTATTTAAACGCACTCAAAAGTGTTCTAAACACTGTTGTAAAATAACTTAAAGGAATGAAATGAAAAATCTATTCATGCCATAAAAGATGCTCAAATAGTGGTCAAAAGATGGTATCGTAACATTTAGGCTACTGAAAACACATTACCTGCGCCCACAGAGCAAATGGTGGGGCAGTACATGACCAGTCTCTGTAAAATGTGTAATGTAAATCAAAAACATTGATAATAAACTTAATTTCAATAGGCCTACCAAATAATGTGCTCATAATATTCAGCCTCACATAAGAAAAATGAAACCCATTTTTTTTTAACAGCTGCGACGGACTATGTGAAACAGAGTTGGAAGCAATTAAAAAATAACATTTTAAAGTGGTAAGTAGGCTTACTGTCACATCTTAAAAACCTACAACAAGTACCCTAGCCTACAAGGCTTTAGTATCCTACTTCAATCAGTAGCCTATCTGTAGTAATCGCTACACAAGTTTCTCCGCATCACGGCAGCCTATGATGATAGGCCTATGGTGATGTCATTTTCCAAGAGAGCTAATTGGTCAGTAGGCAGTGTTTTTATAGAGTTGATCTCTTATCTGGAACGTAACCTGCTCCGGAGCAGGTTAGCCATTCAGCATAAATTACCATGGCAATCTACCCGGGTAAGAAGTGAACCACCGTCATGGTACAGAAAACCCAGGGTTAACCCCGAAGTTATCTGGATAAGCGTAAATCCTGCTTCGTGGTACAGGCTCCAGCAGTCCCAAATCAAAAAGGCTCTCCTCTGATGCTGACAAGGGACCTTTTAAAGACTGCCTTCCAAGGCCAGGTGGACCTCATTCAGTAATCAGACGTGGGCAGAACTAGAGGACAGAAGAGGAACATGGACACACAGCACAACAAACGCATACAGCCGCGACATATTTAGTGAAGTGAATCACAATACCTTACATGTTATTACACTATTTAATAATGTTACTGTATAACCAACTATATAAAACCTACTGTTATGCTATGTTATACTCTGCACCTTACTAAATGGACAGATACTGTTCATTCTGTACACACAACCTTACAAATTGTGCACTCTCTATTCTCTGACTCTGTCTACTTCTCCTCCATATATTTGTATGTTCACATTATACCGTATTATTATATCTGTATATTGTAACTCAACCACTGTACATGTCATGGTTCTGGTGTGGTGGGTGTGTGTTTTTTAGTGTTTCCTGTTTTAGTTTGTAGTTGTTTACCTCCAGTGTCATCGTCTTGTTCTACTTCCAATGTACCTGTCTCTTCTCCCTGCTTGGCTTCACCTGTATCTCACATAAAAACGATCCACTTGCCAGGTTATTCTGTTAACTCTGAAGGCCAATATGTCTAATCCTATGTGAGAACTCCGGGTCAAGCCGAGCCTCTTTCCTTCAGTCTACTAAAACCATAAAACGTCCGGCTCCCAGCACAACACAGATTTCAACACCACCTCCACGTAAGGATAAAAAACAATAAATAAAAATATAAGTAAATAAAACACTAACTTATTTTCATTAGCTCCATACCCACACTTTTTATAATGGCAAAGTCATACAGGGAATAGCTATGAATACACTAAATGATGATTCTTTTGCCTTTTCCTGCAGGTAAGGAACTACATATTCTCCTTTACAGTGTTGTTAAAACTGAGATGGCAACATCAAAAACCAAAAACGATGGGCCACTGGACAAATCTGTCAAGGTACTGATTTCTCCTGTGCAATGAAATGTACACTCAAGTCTTGTACATTTAAGTCAAGCTGTTTCAAATTATACTTTACCAGAACATTTTCAAGTTGTGAGACTACTGATTTATATAGATTTGGCAATTTCATTTAGCATCTAGCGCTAAATAAATTAAAAATAACATGTCAAAAGTATTTCTGTAATACATTAGTATTGACATATATATCTGTTATCTCAAGGAAAAAGCAACAGAATGGGGAAAATCAGTCAACCTCTACAATTACAACCTGTTCTTTTATATGCGTGTTGGTACTTAAAAGTTAAATGGAAATAAATTAAATTAATTTTGATTTTTTTGGGCACGATTAAATAAACAGGTATACTAAAATGGATGGATGGTTTAAGAGTGGTATTGCTATGACAGAATAAAAACGGACTGAAATTAAATAAATGAGACTTGCTTGTGTTTCATTCCCAGGAAAAGGAGCCACATGAAGCCCATTCTTTTGAGTGGTGATGGGGTGACGAGGAACCCACAAACTTTACCTGCGATGAAGCAGGAACTGTTGAGGTCGTGCTGATGAGAAGTCTGCAGTTTAGAGAAATTGCAGAAAAGAACAAAACAAAAGAGCTTGTTATTGTGAGAGAAGGGAAAGCTATCAGTTCACACTTTCCATGCAGCTTAATTACCTCTAATGAACGTTTTCCTGTCAAGTACATTAAAGCTGTAGACAAGCGGAGAAGAAGGTCTGGTTGTCTGCAAAGAAAGAGGCCATCTGGCAAGATTGTGACATTTCATTTACTGACAAAGGGAGGTAAAAAGGTAGTGAAACATGAGAAACCCAGAGCTAAAAAAAGTAATTCGGGAAATTACTGTTTATGCATACAAAGGGGAAAAGGTGAAGCAAGCTCTGAGAAGAGATGGTCGTTTACTGAATATCGTATTCAAAAAGAACTGTGTGCTCTCTGAGACAAGCATTGAAGTAACCTCAGAAATGTCCACTCTCGTTGATGTTCTTGATGGTAAAACTTTCCAGATCAAACTGCTCAGTAAGTCCAGTCCCCCAAAAAGTCAGCCTGGCAGTCTTGATGATGCTGACATGATACAAAATGAATCTCAGAGATCTGACTCTGATGGAAACCAAGATCCTCCACAGCAGTCCACCTCGACTGAGTCAGTGAAAGACAACGAGCCAAAAGAGAAACCAAAGCCAAATGGTAATATTTCACCAGGCAACATGGTATGTGAAATACCTCATTCAGAAACAATGCAGCGTCACCTGTCTTCACAATTTAAATATTTGTTGAAAGGGATGAAAACTCAGCCAGGTCTGAAGCTTTCTCGTATCCACGGACCCCTCCTTGTGGAGTTTGGAAAGAGTGTTGAGACATGCAGGGAAGTGAGCACAATGAAGAAGCTGATGGAGCTCAGTAATTCTGTTTGCCAAGTGAGAATAAACGGGAGGCCAGAAGGAAGTGGCTTTCTCCTATTTGACAGGTTTGTCCTCACAAATGGCCACACAGTTAAAAACATTTATAATGAGAGTACAGAGCAGCTCACTGAGAGGCTCACTGTCCATTTCTCTTTTGAAAGTTTAGACCAGACGGAGAGAGGGCGAGAGTCTGGAGCAGCAGTGGAAGCAGTCGTTGGCTTTGAACACTATCTTGGTGTGTCATACTCGTATGACTGGGCTTTGTTGAAGCTCGGTGCTGATCAGACATTGTCTGGTCTGTTAAAACACTTTGGATTCATTCCAACGAGAGGTGGAATTTGCATTATTGGGCATCCTTATGGCGGTGTGAAAAGGATAGATGCATGCTTTACTTTTCCAAGTGCGAACTGCATCCAGGTTGTGCAGAGGCATTTCCTTCAAAATCAGGTGGAAGGCACTGATTACAGTTGTTCACCCGGGCCCATTCAGTTGGTTACTGACCAGTTTTCTCCACATGTGGCAAATTCTGTCGAACAAAAAAGACAGGCTCTAACTAAGTCTTGTTTTTACTTTGGCTCATCTGGCTCTCCTGTCTTCGATGAGCACTGTAATGTTGTTGCAATGCATTCAGGGGGATATGCCTACAACAATGCAAGGGGTCAAAGCCAGAGTGTCATAGAGTTTGGCCATCCTCTGTCTGTCATTCTTGAACGCATCGTTGTCCAGATAGTGGAAAGAAAGAAGTCTGATGTGTTAAAGGCATTTGACATGTGTTTGAAGGAGTTCTTTGAATACCTCTCTCAGAGGATAGAGGTGCCTGTCACGAACACTGCTTGACTGTACAGTTACAAATATAACTGCTTACAAAAGACAGTTAAAGTTTCAGCAGTGATCAACAAAGGCTGTGTTTCATATATCGAGATACTTTATCTATAAACACCTAAGGAGTGTAGATCTGATACTAACCCTGTTATTCATTAACCAAAATCAGGGAGCTATACTTTCTCAATAGTAATTTTTAGCCATGTTTGTATCTATAAAGGTTATTTTTTGTTTATAGGCCTAATATTTCAAATCACTTCTTGAATCTCTATACTATATTTTTTAATGAAATCACTTTTTTTATTTTCACTTTTTTATTACCTGTGTGTGTGTGTGTGTGTGTGCGTGCGTGTGAGTATGTGTGTGTGTGTGTGTGTGTGTGTGTGAGAAGGGGCTGTAACCTCACATAAAAACGATCCACTTCCCAGGTTATTCTGTTAACTCTGAAGGCCAGTATGCCTAATCCTATGTGAACTCCGGGTCAATTTTTTTTTCCCGGATGCGCACTCTCGAGCCTCAGTCTACTAATAACCATAAAACGTCCGGCTCCCAGCACAACACAGATTTCAACACCACCTCCACATAAGGATAAAAAACAATAAGTTTTATGTGCTGGAGCCCTTCAGGCCAAACGGGGTTGAAGACACACAAATAGTTATTGAAAAGTGACAGTGACTGTCTAGTAGACAGCGAATATCTGAAGTTGATTGGACTAATTCTCTAAGAAAAGTTCATTAGAAAAGTACAATGTGTGTAAATTGCAAAACATGATCATTAAATTCAAAATGGCTGACTTCCTGTTGGGTTTTGGGCATTTCTCCAAGAGGCTTTTTGGTACAACTGGACATGAACCACGTAGTACAGAAATTTCATACATGTAGGTGAAATGTTCTGCCGGGGCTGCTTTGTTGAAGGTCACTTCCTGTTGCCAGCAGGTGGCGCTATGACTATGGGTCAAGGCAGGTAGATGTGATCAGGACTCTTATCAAATGTGTAAAATTTGGTACAGATTTTTCAGTCAAGTTAGAACAACTTCCTGTGTCATGGAAAAGCGTGCCATGGCAAAACTTCGCCGCCACGCCACGGACACACCAATAACAGAAAACTCACAAGTTTTACAACATGGCTTCATCAATGTGTTAAGGGTTTTCTAGGACAGTTTTGAAGGTGATATGGCCAACCTGCTAGGAGTATTCATAGGCCCAATCCCAATTTCCACACTCACAGTCTCAAAGACTTTGAGGTATGTTCCCTGTAAATCCCTGAGGGTTTAGGGCTGTCCTACTGTCAAATCGTCAAGTGCGTGAGGGCTTTCGCGGACATTTTGAGAGCTTTTTAAACCCTTTTCGTAAATCCGCATTTCTGCAGACTTATACTTGTGTTCCATTTACCTCGGAGGTCGGAGCTGGGAATGACGTCACACCCGAGTTGACGCCGTTCCTGTTAACAAGTCGGAAAACCTTGCTCGGCCAGCCATTGATTAAAATCTGCCAGGTTTGATATTGAAAAAAAAATACTGAACATTGTAGCAAAACGTCCACAGACAACAGTTGGACAGCACTTTACGAACATTTCTATGAGTCACAAGTACACAGAAGTGCTAATAAACATTAAACTACAGCTTTCACTAACTGTTGATACCCCGACAGCCCTCTTGGATCACAATGTCGGGGTAGTGCGGTTCTCCCACTGTTTCCTTTGAAATTTTGAATTTTGCACTCAGAAATTCCAACTTCCCATGTCAAATGGAGCACCTGCCTGAAGGAATTGACCACAGTTCATAGCGTTGTGACCATAGACTGTATGGTTGTGACACAAACACGGGGGGTGAGTTCGGCGCCGACATAATGTAGTAAAATGTTTTTTGCTTGTTTTTTCAACGGAAACGGTGGTGCCTCAAACACCCTGCTGTGTATGCAAGCGCATTGCATTTTCCTGCCTTCTTAACACCGTTGTGTTTACAAACTTGTCGCAGCTGATTGGGTAACACCTGTGACACACCAAACAGAAGAAAACATACCTCGAAGCCCGTTGCGGAACGTTGCACAACATTGCAAGGAAACGTGTTCAATCCGAAAACGTTGCAAACAGATGCAAAACGTTTTGAGATTGAATTTGCCCCAGGGGAAGCCCGGAATCAACAGAAAAATCTCAGTAATTCCGCCTTATAAGAGAAGAAGAAGAACAGTAAACAAACAAGCATGGAAACCAAGCTGAATTGTTGGATTTTTTAAAACATAGATTTAAGATGGTACATAGAACACATGAAGTCAGAGGAATGCAATCACCTTATTACACACTTCGTTTATTCAAATATTTATTTTAGTTTTTGCTTAATGATGCTGTTTAGACCAACAATAGTGCATTGATTATTGACAAATGTAGATTGTCATTACCTCTCGTCCACTCTGTAGGGCAAGAACCTGCAAGAGTTAAAATTCAGGCAAAAACATAAAATCATGTTAATCTGGACATGATACCACAGAAATTTTATACAGGTTGGCAAAACTTTGGCTAGGGCATGCTCTGTAAGGGGCGCTAGCGAGCCATTTTGCCACGCCCTTGTGTGACGCCCATAAAATAAGAAAATTGTGTGTAAAGCTGTGAGTTTTTGAGTACCCTTTAGGCCGTCAAAAATATTATTAATTTTCAGAAAAAAATTCATCAAGCAGAGTTTGACAGCATAAATGAACAGAAGTGGCACAACTGGACATAATGTCTTCATTCTGTGTACGCGCGAGTAATTCGAGGCGAATATTAACGTCACACACCATAACAATATAATAATAATTAGGCTACTGAGGAACGTTCTTTAAGTTGTGAATACATATCACACCCTGAAATACAGGATATATTTATTTGTATTTTGACAATTAAATAAAAGTAGGTTAGATACAAGCAACACCGCAGAAAGCGTGGACAATTAAGACATTTTCTTTATTTACAAGGCTAAGTTCGTAACACTAAAAGAATTGTTGCCAGCTCTCTTCCGGCGGAACGTTTGACCCGGACTACATTTTCCACACGGGCACAGTTACAGCGGACCAAAGCGACGTGCCTGGCGAAATGGAAGTGTAAGATATTTTTTAATTGATTTATTTACAGTGAGTGTGTTTATTGGCAGCTGTGTATTGTTTATTTGAACTGTAGCCAAGCAACAGCAGCGTCTGTGTCGCAGTTTCCGGTTCATTAATAGATGGGGCTGTTGGAAAGTGTAGTGACAGAACTGGATTTAGACACAGTTTCAAGTCTCTCTCATTACAGTTGAGAAACACTAACTTGCAGTCAGTTTTAAAGAGTTGGTAATGACATAATGATCAGTTCTAAAAGCGAATAAGTCAGCTAAAGCATTGGATGCTGTTATCTGTTGATTATTCCATCAATAAATTTGGTCAAGTAGGCAAAGTTATACACAGACCCACAAAATAATGATAATGAGGTTTGAATAATTCGCTCAATGTACTTTGCTTGAGAAAGAGCATGGGAACTCGTGTTCTGGCTTTGTAAAATGCTGAAACAATTAGTTGGTTAATCAGTTCGTCATTGACAGAAAGTTAATTGTCAGCATTTTGAAATGTTTGAAATTGAAATGGTTTCAGTTTTTACTATTACAAAATATCAAAAGATTCATTGATAATGAAAATGATGTTTGGATAAAGTGCATGTTCAAATGTATTGTACATAGCAGTGGAAAACAAAAGTGCAAACAAAAGTATTGTGGTCCACTAAATCAAACTTAAGTTTGATCCACATTTAACTCTCATCATAAACACTCTTTTTTTCACTTCTCATTTTTATAACCAAATTAATCCTAAACTCAAAGGTCCACCATCCGTCTTTCCGAGCTTTCAGCCACATCTCACTGTAAGACTTGAGATCGTAGATTATTTGGCTACATATACACTTTCCAAAGGTCAGGAATAAAGCTTAAACATGACTTATTTTATTATTTTCAGAAAGAATGCTAACGCTGCTATGCTCAGTAACTATGAGGTAAGGTAATATGTTATGTCCCTCTGTTTTACATTAAATCGTTTTGTACTGTCAAGAGATAATTTAGTGTCACTTCATATTTGTCTGTTGTTCCTCAGGTGTTCAAACTCCTCACAGACCTGAAGGAACAGAGGAAGGAAAGCGGGAAGAACAAACACAGCACCGGGCAGCAGAACCTCAACACCATCATGTATGAGGTCGGCACACAGCCTCTCACTCTCTTCACTATCTTAAACCTGCTCTGTGAGCCTCTTGTTCACGTTGACATTTTTACAACAGCATGCCCACAGTTTCATCTGCATTTCCACACAGACGCTGAAGCACCTGTCAAAGACGCCCTGCAGCAGGCAGAGTCCAGAGATCGTCAAAGATTTCCTCACCACCATGATGCCTCACAAACTCACAAAGTCAGTAAGATCCAACAGAGACATATATTTTATATTCATGGTTTTATTTGTCATTAGGAATAGATTAAATCAGATGCACCATATTTATTTAAGATAAACACATTCTGTGCACCGTATGTTGAGTACAGAAAGTCAGTATATATACTCGCTGATATTTTTCCCCCATCAGGGCAGAAAAACTGCAGCTCTTGAACCACCGGCCACAAACAGCTGTGGAAATTCAGCTGGTGAGTGGTTTATTCAACTGTCATCAATTACTATTATTACAGTTTACCTCTCATCTGTTTCCTTTATTCACTACTGGTGTACATTTCTATGATTGTTGTTTCACACATATATTGTCGTGGAAATGTGTGTCACACATATATTGTCGTGGAAATGTGTGTCATACGAAGAATCGCTTAAAGTATAATCCTTGTGATAATCCATTTTTTATCCCACACACATAAAACAAAAAGTCCCAAATCAACAATAAACTGATTCAACTAACAAGTATTGTATGTATAAAACAAAAATATTTTTTAATTAAGATGAACATAGGCACTGTAGTTTACTTTGAGTAAGTCCCACACACAGGTCCTGCTCCTCATTAGAGCACCATATGAGTATTAATCTGCAGACACGATTGGTCTCCCGACAAACGCTCTAT